TACATCCACTAGCCTGTGGCATAAAGGCCCATTGGTGTGAGCTGGTCTTCCATCCTGCCTTGGCTACACCACTCCTCTTCACAAAGGCAGCAGGGACAGATATCATGGGCTGTCCTAGGGGCCATGCAGGGGGGCATCATTGGTCTGTGCTCCCAAATAGCTCTGTCTCCTAGGCCAGGAGACTGCACCTCCCTCTTCCCTGGGGAATCCCTTCTACTAGGACAATGGTAAGGGGTAACTGTTTACCCTAGAAAAGCACACACAAGGTATTCATAAGTGACACTGGCTTGCATTCTGGGAGGAGTCTCACTTTCTCATCTGTATGGATTAGCTCTCCTGCAAGCCTGTCCTCTTCCTTGCCTCCCTCCTTCCCTGCAAGTTACAGGTCTATCTGTCCTGCAAGGCTTATCTTGAATGCTACCTTCTCCATGAATAATTCTTGAATAAATTTGCCCATCACTGACCCCTCCTTCCTCTGACCTATATTATTATAAATTATTCATTCTGGTCTTATATCTGTTGTCACATTCTATTTTGTGTTACCGCTAACTCTATTAAATCTTATTTTCCCGGCTATATTGTGAGGTCTGTGGTCAGGGACCACATTCCCTTTTCTTTGCTGAAATACCATATGCTGCAAAACTTTGCCCACGGTAGGTGCTCTATTAATATTTATTGAATAGCACATTAGATCTCTCACTCCAATGCCAAATTTCTAATTTATTTTTTAACATAAGGAAATATTCCTTAAAGAGTCCTAAAAGATTCAGCAATCTCTACAAGACCATGCTCTTTTCCCCTTCTTTAGAATTAATATATTTATTCTATTCCTCCTCAGCCTAATTATTTTTATATTATACTAAGAGAAGGAAAAGAGTATAATTACAGCATATGTGAAAATACATTTATTTGCTCATTCATTAATAATTGGTGAATTTATATAGCTAGAGTTTTGTTTGGGTGGCTTCCTTTCCTCTTTCTCATTACTGCCCTATATTAATTATTAAAAAAAACCCACTTTGTAGACCAAGAGACACAGATGAGACAAATTTAACTGATTGGCACCATCTTTAGCTATGTTGCCAACACATGAATATGCAGAACTTAATTACATGTAATCAGTATGCTCAGCTTCATCTCTGTTTGCGGAAGGAGGACCCTGGCTTCCATGGGGGGTGGTGAGGTGACCTTTCCTATGGACCCTGGTTTTCCCTTAGAGAGCAGGGTCTCAAATTCCCTCAGGGAGTCACCTGGTCAATTCTAAAAGGGGGAGAGATAGTTGAAGAGTGACTTTTCGAAAGTCGCATTGCCTTTTGGGGTGGAATGTGATCTGTGTTTCAGAGGGCATGTGTGATTTTTGGTTGATTGTGCATTCCTGATTCGGTGTATGTTTTCATGTGGATACATCAAGGTGCATTTCCAGCATGAATTTACATTGTCTGTAGTCAACTCTTCTAATGCTCCTTAAGTGAAAACTTTGACTGGAAGGCATGTCCTTCGTTAAACATGTTACATATCTTCTGTATAATGTAGCTATAAGTTTAACATAGATTTTTTTTTTAATTTAAAGGAAAAATCTGAATCCCTCAAATTGAAAAATTCAAGTATAAAACAGTGACACTTTAATAAAATAGCTGGACTTCCCTTCTGGACCCTGCACTGAAACTCCCATTAGTGTCAAGAAAATATGGCATTTGGGTTGTTTCCGTAGCTTAGCTATTGTAAATAGTGCTACTATAAACATAGGGGTGCAGGTGCCCTTTGGAATTAATGTTTCTGTGTCATTTGGGTAAATACCTAGAAGTGGAATTGCTCCAAAAATGGATGACTGGATCAAGAAGATGTAGTACATATACACAATGGAATGTTAATCAGCAATCAAAAAAGATAAACACATGCAGTTTGCAGCAACATGGATGGAGCTAGAAGGGATTATGCTTAGTGAAATAAGTCAGAAAAAAAAAAAAAATACCGGATGGTCTCACTCATAGCAGGAATTTAGAAAACCTAAATAAGGGACCAAGAAAAAGACTAATTATAATAAAGTAAAAATCAAAATCAACAATCAACTATAAACCAGAGACACATTATGGGGGGAGGGGGGAGCAGAGAGAAGAAGGACTAGGGTCAAAATAAGGGGGGATGTGTGTGCAATTGTATGGGGAATAAAACCAAAATAAAAATGCATGCATTGTGCAAAAATGAAAAATGATGTAAGAATTATATAAAATAAAATATTTTTTAAAAAAGAAAATATGGGTCTTTTTGAGATAGGAGCCTGGTCAAGGAAAGCTTGGTTTTCTATCATTTTTAATTATTGCTTGTGTTCCGCTGATTTTTTTTCTTCCTTCTGAGTATACTGATTACCCATTCATTGTCTGCCCTCCTCTGGTCCTCCATGACTATTTTCTTTTTCCTAATCTTCATTTCTTTACATCTTTCCTGTGCATGGAAGGACAGCTGTCCATTTTTGTCTTTTGCGTCACTTGCTTCCTGTAGCATCAACTGTATTTTTGATTGCTACCAACCTGGGTTTTCATTTTGTATTTATGTCTTCATTTTCACTGAAATCCCCCTTAGCTTCTTTTTACAGCATAATGTTTTCTGCTTTCAGATCTTATTAAGATTACTGTTTTCATGCTATCTTTTCAGCTGTTCCCCCTACTCTGCCATCTTTCCATAGAACTAATGTTTCTTGTACTTTCTCCATGTGCCAAACCATTTTCTGAAAAGCTATTTTGCATAGCACCATAGAGAATATTCAGAGTCTGAGAAGGATTGGCCCCTTGTTACATCCCTTGTGATCAGACCCACGTATGTTTTCCTTCCTTCTTTCCCATCCTCAGACATGTGAGCTGGAAGGTCCTCTGGCTCTGTTTTGATTCTCAGGCCCTTTCTGGGGTTCTGCTGCAGGGCGGGCTCCTGCAGACAGGGGCTGTGTCCCTGGGCTTCGTTGCTTCTTTCCCACCCCCTCCACTGTTTCTGTACGTTCCCACAGTGGACTCCAGCGCAGCCCCAGTTCTTCCCTCTTCTCCCAGCTCTTCCCCAGCTGCTCCCGCCACCTCCTGCCCATTTGCTTCCTGAACTTTGTCCTTTCTCCCTGGCCTTGAGCAGACAGAGCTCAATAGTGGAGCCGTGGATGGGAGGACTGGGAAGCTTTTTTCCATTCAGGTGACAGCAGCTTCTGAGCAGGAGAGAAACACTTCCTGCGTAGGCTTTTGCTTGGTAAAAACCTGGGGTCTCCTAGTCAGCGGGCAGATCATGGGAACTGCAGCCAGGGTTTTCTTCCAGGTGTTCACGGGACTAAAGGTGGGTAGGGGTGACCCTTGAGGTCAGAGCTAGTTACCTGCCTCTGCCCAACCCTGCTGCTTGCTAATTAGTTTCCATTTGTGGAAGCTCTCTGCCTTTTTTCAGTCTGAGTTTTCAATGTGACCTAGGGTTTTTTGTTTTGTTCTGTTTTGTGTTTGGATTTTTTCATACCTTCACTGACATTCAGTGGTAAGTTGGGAGCGGCATTTCTCAGAACTGCCAGCCAAGTGTCATTCTGAAAACACTTCTGAACTCACATTTTGTTATTTTATTTATTTATTTTTTAAAGATTTCATTTATTTATGCATACAAGAGCTGGGGTACAGGCCAGAGATGCGGGGGGTGAGAGGATTCACCAGAGACAGAGTGGGGAACAGAACAGGCAGAAGTACACTGCTGAGGGGAGCAGTGGGTGAGACAGGAGAGGTCTGCTGCACCATGTGGGTTGCTCCGTGGCTGGCCGGGGATCAAACTCATGCTGCAGAGGCTGCGGATTGCTTCATAGTGCAGTGCTTAACCCCTTGAGCCACCAGGGAGGCCCTCACATTTTGTTATTTTATTGTTTAATTGATGTAAGGTTGCATTTGGCATTCTGAGTTTCAGTGGTTCGTCATTTAGAACAAACAGTTAAGGTACCACTTTAAGATCTCCACTGAGTCCAAGTCAGTCCTTTTAAATGGGGACTTGTAGTGTGGGGCTGTGCATCATACGCATCTGCTGATTCACATTAAAGTGACTCGCTCCTTGGGGTGCCTATCTACTGTGAGTAAAGCACCTTATACACTTCAGCACAGCAAAGACGTACATTAGCAACTGTGTTTTCAGGTGGGAGCTGAGGGTTAGGGGTTCTTTGGGCCAGTCTGCAGCACACCCAGAATCCACGCCCTCGTTGGACTGAGCCCTAAACTGCCCGACCCACACCCAGAGGCAGGCGCTGTCCTTGTTTGCATCCGTTGCCCTTATGCATCAGCCTGCTGCCCAGCAGGCATCTGATATTTTCTCCTAGTCACCCAGCTTTCTTGCGGGTATAGCATGTGGAACATGGTCTTGAATCATTGTTAGAACTTTCCTTTGGTCTATTTTTAAAAACTGGTGTCTTCGGTTACTAGTCCTTGGTGGATTTTGTGGTGGGCAGGGCACTGTGTTCTTTAGTGCCTTCTCGGAGGTGAGCTTTGCAGCTCTCACTTGCTGGAAGATGTTGACTGCCCCTGAACAAACAATGCCATACACTTGTGGTCTTAGCTCTTGTATCTTGCATCTGGGGTTTGAAGGTAGTATTTTATTTATTTAGTTTTTAAAAAAGATTTATTTGTGCATACAAGAGCTGAGGTGCAGGCCAGAGGTATAGGGGCGTGGGAGGATTCACCAGAGACAGAGTGGGGAGCAGAACAGGTGGATTTACTAAATACACTGCTGAGGGGAGCAGCGGGTGAGCAGCTGTGCCATATGGGTAGCTCCCTGGCCGGGGATTGAACTGGTGCTGCAGTGGCTGCTGATAGTTTAAGAGTGCTGAGACTTAACCTCTTGTGCCACCAGGGAGGCCCTGAAGATAATGTTTTAAACTGTAATGTTGACTGATTATTTCTTTCTTCATTTCTGTGTATTTTAAACTTAATTAAAGTTCCAATAGTAAACTGAATCAAAGGCCATCTTTAACAGCCATTCAAAACTAGTTTTGTTTTGTTTTTTAGCTTAATCCTGATTATCGAGATGCCCAAAATGAAGGGAAAAGCGTGGTGAGTAAAAATTGTTTCTCTTCAGTAAATCCCAAATGTATTGTTTATATTTATATGAACAAATTTAAAATGTAATAGGAAACTTGAAGACTATTGACTGTTAGAAATTCTCCACATAGATCCTCTAGATAAAAGGTCATACGTAAAAGATGATATGGCTTAGATGATAAGATGTCCAGAAAGCGTGGTTAGGGAAATTCTAGCAACTTGGAGACCATTTGTGGTATAGATGTGAAGTCAGTGGCACCTGGCTCCAGGTGGGCTGGAGCCTTCATAAGTGCATAGACATTAAGAACGAGAAATGGAATTATGGTATGGTATTAAAAACAGGACATCAGGCCAGTCCTCCTTGTTTCCAAATATTTTGCTATTTGTTCTATTTGTTAGGAGAAATTGAATCATCAAGTAGCTAGATGATTGATTTTCCAGATATTCTAACATATGTTACTCAGAAAGGCTTTCTCATTTTAAAGCCAGTTTTTATTAAGTATTTATTATTATTCACTCTATATTTTTGGGGGGGGGGAGGAGGTAAAACTTCTTTAATCATTTCTTTCATTTGTCACAGCTGATCAATGAAATCTAAAAGACTGTACTTCTCATATCTTCTTCACTTGCATGAATACTTATACCATAGCTTATAAAATCTGTCACAATCCATAGGAGTCAGGGAATTCGAGTCAGTTCAATTTGAGCCAGACCCTACTCCATCTCAAGGGCCAACAATTCTCCAGAAAATAGTAGTAGAACTCAGAGTGTGCCACTCATGTCATCCATCTAATGTGACTACCAAATAAAACATACAAATTTAAGTTCTTTTTTTTTTAGACTTAAATCCTACCATATCAGTAGTTACATTAAATGTAAATGTTCTATGTATATAATTATCAGAAAACATTTGTCTAATTGAATATAAAGGTAAGTCAGACCTATATGATAATTACAGGAGACACAATTTAAGTATAAAGATGTAAATTGATTAAAAGGAAATGGATAGAAACAGAGGCCTAGTGCTAGCACTAACCCAAAGAAAGCTGGAATGGCTATATATTTAGACAAATTAGATTTCAGAGCAAAAATGTAATCACAACTAGATAAATCTGTTTCATAAAGATGATACAATACATTAAGATGACATTGCAACCCCAAATATTTGTTACCTGATAACAGAGCTCCATATTACATGAAGGAAAAATCCTGTTGAACTATAGAAAAATAAAGACATTCACAATTATAGTCAGATAGGTCAATTTTACATTCTCACAAATAGATTGGAAAGGTAAAAATTGGTAAAGATATAGTTTTTTTGGTATTTTTATAATTCTCCACCAAACAACAGCAGAATATACTTATTTTCTTCTGCTATGCAGGTAACATTTAGGTAGATCATCATCTAGGCCATAAAACAAGTCTCAGTAAATGTAAAAATTTTCAAGGTATACAAAATACATCCTTTTTTTTTTTTTTTTAAAGATTTATTTATACAAGAACTGGGATACAGTCAGCGGCATGGGAGGTGAGAGAATTCACCAGAGACAGAGCGGGGAACAGAACAGGCAGACGGACTGCAGACACTGCTGAGGGGAGCAGCGGGCTAGGCAGGAAAGGTCTGCCATGCTATATGGGTTTCTCCCTGGCAGCTGGAAATTGAACCCCTGCTGCAAAGGCTGCGGACAGCTTCACAGTGCAGCGCTCAACCCACTACACCATCAGGGAGGCCTGTGATCCATAAAATACATCCTTTAAACACTTAATATAATTAATATTTTTGACTGCTTGGACAAGGACATTTTATTTATTTATTTTATTCTTTTAATGATAAACAATTTTTAATTTAAAATACAATCTCAAACTATCAAACTATACTAGATACCATGAGGTGAGGCATCTATAGGGCATTCAATAGAAAGTTGTGGTTTGTGTATTTATTACTTTTTGTTCTGCAGTCTGTCTTTGAATTCATGTATTTACACCATGATGAGTAACTGATTCTGCATATATATATATTTTTAAGTTTTCTTTTTTTTTTTCTTTTTTTTTTTTTTTTTGATTGATTTATTTATTTATACAAGCACTGGGTACAGTCTGAAGTGCGGGAGGGTGAGAGAATTCACCAAAGCCAGAGGGGGGAACAGAACAGGCAGACAGACTGAAATACACTGCTGAGCAGAGCAGCGGCAGGAGAGGTCTGCGCGCCCTGTGGGACCCTCACCAGTGGGGGATTGACCCAGCACTGCAGAGGCTGCAGGCAGCTTTGCAGACCAGCGCTCAACCACTGTGCCACCAGGGGAGGCCCTGATTCTGCATATATTTAGATTCATATTTACTTTATTTGTTAAAGTTCTACCAGTTATCCTGTCCTCTCTACTTTTCTTGCCTACCACTCTCTGCCTGTTCAATTTTAGTTTGTGTGGCGGTTCTTTCTTTTTATTTTTTTATTTTTTCATTTTATATATTTTTTGTATCATTTTTCATTTTTGCACAATGTATGTATTTTCATCTTGGTTATAGTCCCCATACAATTCCCACCACTCTTGTTTTGATCCTACTCACTTATCCCCCCACCCCCATAGTGTGTCTCTGGTTTATAGTTGCTTGTCGATTTTGATTTTTACTTTAGTCTTTTTCCTGGTCCCTTGTTTAGGTTTTCTAAATTCCTGCCATGAGTGAGACCATCCGGTATTTTCCATTTTCTCTCTGGCTTATTTCACTGAGCATGATCCCTTCTAGCTCCATCCATGTTGCTGCAAATGGCATGAGTTTATCTTTTTTGATTGCTGAGTAATATCCCTTGCGTGTATGTACCACATCTTCTTGATCCAGTCATCTATTTTGGGGCATTTGGGTTGTTTCCATAGCTTAGCTGTTGTAAATAGTGCTGCTATAAATATAGGGGTGTAGGTGCCCTTTTGAATTAATGATTCTGTGTCCTCTGGGTAAATACCTAGGAGTGGAATTGCTGCATCATATGGAAGTTCCATCTTTAGCAGACTGAGGAATCTCCACACAGCTCTCCATAGTGGTTGGACCAGTTTGCACTCCCACCAGAAGTGCAGGAGAGTTCCTTTTTCTCCACAACCTCGCCAACATTTGTTGTTGCTAGTTTTTTTAATATGTGCCATTCTCACTGGTGTGAGATGGTATCTCATTGTAGTTTTGATTTGCATTTCCTTGATTGCAAGTGATGTTGAACATTTTTTCATATGCCTGTTGGCCATTTGCATTTCCTCTTTGGAGAAGTTTCTTTTTAGCTCTTCTGCCCATTTTTTGACTGGGTTGTTTACTTTGTTTTTGTTGAGTCTCATCAGCTCTTTGTAGATTTTTGTGATCAGTCCTTTATCGTTAGTGTTGTGTGCAAAAATTTTCTCCCAGTCGGTGGGGTTTCTCTTTGTTTTGGTTACTGTCTCTTTTGCTGTGCAGCAGCTCTTTAATTTGATGTAGTCCCAGCTGTTTATCTTTGCCTTCACTATCACTGCTTTGGGTGATGTGTTTGTAAAGATGTTACTGAGGTGTATGTCATGACTGTATGTCTGACTGTCAGGTTTACAATAGAAATGATGCCAGTCATCCCCGTGCATGGGCTTTTCTCCCCTTGGATTTCAAATAGCTGCCCTGGGATTACTGAGGTCTTACTTAGCTGTGACTTAGGAGGATGCTCTTATAACCATGTGTAAAAATCTGAGTCTGAATCTTGCATTGTTCACCTCTGACTATAAGCATGACAGTGCTGTCAACCCAGGCCCTGGAGCAGCCTTGCACATGGACACAGGGCCTTGGTGGTTACTGTGTGCACCCCAGGGGGAGCTCCCAAGAGGACGTCAGTTGGAACCTGTCACAGATTTAGGTTTGTGAGAGGTGCCAAGCTTTGCTTGGATAGGAGTGCTGTTAGGAAGAGGAGGTATCCTACTAAATTTATCCATTAGGAGGGCAGCTGAGAGCCAGGCTAAAGCTGTAATATTAATGAAGCAGCAGTTGCTCGTATTGGCGAGGGGAGAGGGATATTTAGTCATTTTTGTGACTTGGACGACATTTCTGTTTTTCTAGCTTCAGACATGATTTTAGAGTGGTGGTGCTTTGTCTCTGCCATCCTCTTCAGGAGGGCCTTGCCTGATGCGCATGTGCTGTGGGGACCACAGGGGGCAAAGTCCAGCTGTGAGTTCTGACATATTCTAGCACCACCAAGATCCAGCTGAGCATATCAGACCAGCTGGTAGACTTCAGGGGCTGCTGTTCTCCCTCTCAGGGTTTAGATCTGGGATGTACTGTGTGACTGCTTCAGCAAGGTGTGCACTATGAGAGTTCTGCCTCTATAGCACCGTGAACTTGGGTGCCGTGGACAAGTGAGATGGCTTTCCTGAGAGTTTTTCCTCACCTGTGTGATGGGATGTGGAAGTATGGCCTACACACCCACCTCCCCTGCATGTTATGAAGTTAAAATGCTATCAGACAATTGGAAACTCTTTAATAAAAGATGTCAGCAGCCTGAAAATGTCAGTTGTTTCTCTAGAAAGGCGCCGTACCAAAACTTCAAACTGTGCGGTTGAATTAAGTGTCTGTGCTCATCTCTTTTTTTCCGGTGATGCTGCTGCTGATTCTGGGCAGGGCAGAGTGGGAGAAGAGAGCACGAAGGCTTGCAGAGCAGCTCTGAGAGTATAAATAATAAATCGCGGTGACGCGCTTTGTGCTAATCAAGCTTCGAGTTAGACTGGATAGCTTTTTCCCTTTTTATTCTGAAATGTAATTTTTTTATTCACCTGTAAAGCGAAGTGATTGTCACTGGCAAGTCTTTAATTGCGGGCGACCCGGTGGGCCTGTTTTGGCCGAGCAAATTTATGGCTGGTTGTCCTCTGTCATCTCAGACACATCTGGGTGGAGATACTTGATTTCACTTTTTCTTTCCAAAATCCCTAACATGAAAGTAAATAAAGCCATGGCTATGGAACTGTAAAGCTAACCGATTTTATAGACCATTTACCTCCTAGCAATAATTATGTTTCTGT